CACGGTGGCGGCCGCACATGCTTGTCCGTACGTGGTGTGTCTCATTAGCATCTTACAGCTCCGCCCAGGGGTATCTTTTTCACTGTTATAACGAGCAAAGGGTCAGTTTGAGAACAGGTAAAATTAAAGTGTGTGTGCTCTCTGGAAGGGAGAGTCCCCGCTGGAGACAGCTTTGCTTGTGTGAGGCTCAGTCACGCCACGAACACTGAGGTTTAGGTGCTGGCTGTGCAGTCAACACGGTCGCTTCCCTGCTCACCTGTCCCCTCTCCCCCAGGCACACAGGCCGTGCTGAGGTGCCCAGTTCACCCGTCACATCACAGCCTCCCGTCCTCATCCACGTTTCCCCACGGCCATCCCCTCTTCATCAAGCCAAAGCACAAACACACAGGTCCGCCCGGCTCTGGGTCTTCATTTCCTTACGAAGGCTCCAAGTCATATAAAACCAAAATACATTTGTTCTCTTTTCTCTGGTGAATCAGTCTTGTTCGAGGAGCCTCAGCCCTGAACCTTTTCTCTCTGCACTTGGAGTGTAGACATGTCACTTCCTTCTGTCCCTCGGGCTTCACGGGACCGTCCCTGTGTGTCTGCGCACACATTTCCCCTCTCTTAAAAGCAAGCCGGTCACGGGATTTAGGGCCTACCCTAATCCATCATGAGGTCATCCTAACGCATAACGTCTGAAATGACCCATTTCCAAAAACCTCCGTGTTCACAGGTTAGGGCTTGAACACATTTCCTAAGGACACTATTCAGCCCTCCACAAACACCGGCCGCAGACTAAGCCACGCTCAGGTGGTGTTGAGGCGGAAAATTAAAGAAAAATAAAATTAAAAAGAAAGAGAAATAAGCTTTCCTGTGTTAGGCTGCCTTGTCCCAGAGGCAGCAACAAGCACAGCCCAGACCCAGGAAAAGTCTTAATAATAATATTATCGAATGTGCCTGGAGACTCTCCCGGCACTCCCTCAACATAGGAAGGGGAAAAACAAATTTTCCTTTGTTTTATGGAATGAGTTTATAAATTCCTGTTCTCTGTAACTAGCAACTTCAAGTATTCTGTGTAAGCAGTAGAGTGACGGTCATGAGCCTCTGAGCAGGCCTCAGTTACGGCCACCTGGCGCCACAGTGAAGGTTATGAATAAGCTCCTGCCCAGGCTAACCTAGATAACGGATATCTGGGTTGCTTCGCAACAGTCACATGCAATCCTGAGTTTGTCCTGCCTCGGTATCCCTGCTTTCACGCCACTGTAAGCTTGCTTCAAGCTAGCCCACCCCCTTTTGTGAAGTGTGTGTAAAAGTCAGGCACTGCCTTTGTTCTGGGCCCAGTCTTTGGACATTGAGTCTGCTGGGTCTGAGTGCACTCAGTGATAAAGATATCCTCCTGTATACACTCTAAGGTCTCTCTCTGGTCCTCCTGATCCCGCAAGAGTGCTAGGTCTCCCTAAAGGCCATCGGGCCCCTGGCTGGACCTTGGAGTCTTGCTCGTTTTCTCAGCCATGCTGTGCACACGGTCCCGGCCCAGCCCACCCGGGCTGACAGGAGCCGACCCCCCGCAGGTCCCTTTCCTGCACTGGCCCCAGCACAGGGGTGTCCCCGCAGGGCAGCCCAGATGGGTCTTCACGCTGGCTGAGGGCTCCCTCAAGGGCAACCTGACATGGCTTCCAGTCTGGTACCTGTTCTTCCCTCACAGCACGTGAAGGATTTTAAACCTCCAAAGCTGTGTTTGCACTTACCCAACCCCTTAATCCTTTGTCTTCTGTCCCTCGTCCCGGAAGCCTCACTCAGCGTGTCCGGGAATTTCTCCACTGGGGCAGCTGGGGGCTGGGACCCGGGAGCTCTGCGTCCCCCTCCCCACACTCAGTTTCACTACGGCCAGGCGCTGCCTCCGTGGAAAGAAAAGGAGCCCATGGCAGAGCATCGAGGGTGCCACGGTGGCCGCACAGGCCAGGAGACCAACCTCTAACCCTGATCTGACACAGGTCTAAGGAGAAGGTCATGAAGAAGAAACGCAGCTCCTGAGAGACGCTGGGGGAGAACTAACCAGACCTAAACTGGAACTCACTCCGTGCAACCAGGGCCTCTCGGGAAACACTCAGGAAACGCTGGGCTGGCAGAACCAGCAGCGGCTTTAGGGATGGATCCCTGGACATTGGGAGTCCACGGTGCAGGGCCTGCACGGGGGGCCGGACACAGCCACACCAGACGGGGTCCCGCTCGACATCCAGCTGCTCAAGGAGAAAAAGAGAAGAATTCTAAACGAGGCGTGGCCCTTCACACTTCAGGGTGCGGTTCCCAGCCCATTTGTATTGATAAAACACGCAGGCGTGCGTGCACCCACAGCCCTGCACACACACCTGTGCACACAAGTACACAATCCCAGCACCCACTCCCCCTTTTCTCCTGGGCAGAAGATGGCCAGGCCTCAGTGTGGTGCCCAGCGCCTGTGACCAGCCTGGGGCAGGGACGGTGATGAGGAGGCCTGTGCCCCTGTGGACACAGCTGATCTAGAAACATCCGACTGCCCTCTGACACTGGACTCCAACAGAACCAAGCCACAACTGGGCAGAGGAAGGCAGCCAATCCCAGACAGCAGGAGAAAGGACGCAGCCCACAGAGCACAGCCACGTGCAGAGACACACCTGCAGCCTTTGCAGCTTAGCACCGGCCCAGGGAAGAGGCACTTCCAGGAGGAGGCCCGAGGGCCTTCACAGACCAGCACCAGCAGGTAAAGAACCAGGAAAAGAGGGGCCACCTCCTGACGACACCCACAAGCTCAGGGCCCGGCACCCTCCCCACGTATGTTCCTGGGGCATGCCGGACGGGACGGTGCCTCAAGGCTTCCCAGCACACACCTCACCGTCCAGACACCCTCAGTCATTGCCAAGCTGTGCTCCTAATAGCTTAGAAAATACGGTATTCGGGAAAAAGATTCCTCTGCAGGTGGCTCTGGTCAGGAAATCGATCATGAAACTCATGAAACTGCCACCTTCCCACTCGGTGCTGTCTAATCCGAGAGACCCGTCTGCCTCCTGAGTCTAGAGAACGCCTTCACCCTTCCCCAAAGCCGCTCAGCTCCCACCTGCTGTGATGGAGGACGTCCCGGAACAGCTCTCTCTGCCCCATCTGAGGGGTCCTCAAAAGCAGGGTTTTGCCCCCACCCTGGAATCCCAAACACCCACCACAGCCCCTGCGGGTCCCCGAGAAGTGCAGGATCCCCACGCTGCTGGGATTCTAGTACAATGCTGTGTCCAGCCCACATGGGGGACCTGGCTCAGTGACTTTTTTTAGGTGAAATAGTAGTTAGTCAACATCCTAAAATCTGGATATGCTTCCTAAAAATTCAGCTTTGAGGCGTCTATGGAAAAAGTTTGCCCAGAGCAGCTGTGAGCCCTCGCTCAGCACCAGCCGCCCGTGGACATGGCTGCATCTCACTTTGCCACAGACCCCACCACTCCCTGTTCTCCCCAACGCTGAGCCAGATGAATAACGGACTCTGCAGCTAAAGTTCATTCCTAGAACGCCTGGCTTAGGCAAAGTCCCAGCCCCAGACATGGCTCCAGAGGTAATCTGCCTCCTTGCCTCCCAGGTCAGCTGCCAGCCCAGCTGCTGACCCCCAAGGTCTCACGAGGTGGGTGCAACGCTGCCTTCTGGTATACCCTCCCACCTTGTGCTTTGTGGCAGGAGAGTCTGCAGTTACAGGAGCTTCGGTCCCCCCAGGGCTCATTCACTCAGACCAAACATTGCTGCAGCCCAGGGACCCCTCGGGAGGGTGTGGGTGCTAGCAGGCAACACTGTGTACCCATCAAGCTGGGCATGGGGAGGGCAGCTGGGGGGGGAGGTCTGGGCTGCTGGGGCCTGGGATGCTGCTTCAGTAGGGCGGCCACACTGAGCCAGGCATCCGCCGGAGTCCCCTGAGAAGTTGTGGCCTGTCCAGTGTGTGGAGCCTCGACGGAGCACCATGGATGCGAAAGGCACCCCCTCCCCACACTGGGACTCACCCCCTCCCCACCCTGGGACTCGCTCCTCCCCTCCCCACGCAGGGGCCTGAGCTCCACCATGTGTCCCAATGGCTCCAGGCACCAAGGGCCTTGTCTGCTGAGAGGGCTCAGACAGGAGGTGGGCTGGGCGGCGATGTGCGCGGGGGCAGGCGTGTCCCCTGGCACCGAGAGAAGGTCACAGTGGAGCTGAGAAGGTGCAGCCTCCGCACTCGGGCCTCAGCCTTGCGGCCCAGGAGAAGAGAGTCAAAGACCGGCGTCCCTGGAGCACGGGACCTCCCAGGCTGCTGGGGGGGAGACAGAGCCTGCAGATCCCTCCTCACGCCCCCTCCAGGAAGACGAGGAAGCCTGGGCTGCAGGCTGGTGGCCGCTGTGTCCTGGGCCCCCTCCAAGCACAGAGAAGCCCCAAGCAGGGGCAGGGCAAGGAGGGCGCTGGTCTCTCTGGCGCTCGCAGTGAGCTGGTCGCAGAGTCCTCCGCCGGTGCAGCTGAGCAGGTGGCGAGGGGGTTCTTGCGGAGAAGCAGAGACCGCCCCACGCAGGCGTCTCACCACGGACATGGGCGAGCGCTTCAGCTGGGAACATTTTTCTTTACCAAGGATGTCATGACTGGCTCACTAGTGGTTAATAGCACCCAGTTCAACAGTGACTTTACAATGTGATCACTGGGCCCCTTCCAGATGGCCCAGCCGTAGACGGCTCCCCTTCTCAAGGGGGGGCGGCCCCTGGGAGCCAGCAGGCCTCATGGGGAGCAGCCACCACCAGCCTCAGGAGCCCTGGGCCAAGCGTTCACCTTCATGGCGGATTTCAGGGAAGGGCCCTGGGCCTGACCCCTGGGCTCGGGGACGGCGCCTGCGTGCCACCGTGAGAGCAGGGCCAGGGTGCTTCAGGAGCTGTGCTTTAGGCGGGTGGAAGCCCCCAGAGTGGCCATGCAAAGGGACGCAGTGCTCAGCACTTGCCAACTCCTGCGCATACCGGGCCCGGGTCCAGGTTCTCGGTCCTGCGTCTGGCGGCCCCACACCCTGGGCTCCCGGGAGGCTCGAAGGACAGCGCTGGGTGATGCCGCACACGGGGAAGGCTCAGCCTGCGCTGCTGCTGCGACTGTGAGGACGCCGGTTCGCCGTCACAGAGCCCAGGTCCAGGGGCGCAGGACGGGGCTGGCGCAGGAGGCTACGAGGCAGCGCGCGGAGGGGATGCGGCGGGCGGGACTCCTGGGCTAGGAGGCGGCTGAGCCGGGCAGCCGGAGCCCTGCAGCCTGGACGACCGCCTCTGATGGGGTCGGGGTGGCGGGTGCAGGAAAGTCCACCCAGAACCTCCTGCCACAGGATCGGCCGGAGCCCACTGCACTGGGGTCGCTCAGGAAAGAGGAAGAAATGCAAACGCCTCGGCGTGGGGCAAGTGCATTCTCCCAAATTCCGCCTCCCTCTGGCTGATTATGCAGATAGTGCAAACTCGACCTGCAAACTCCGAAACAGTGGGAATCGGAATGCGCTCCCCGCGACCTTGCAGCGCCCTCAGGCCCGGCCAGCACGTGGCGCCCTGACGTCCCTCCGCGCACATGTCAGAATGAAGGGCCTGGAGGCACCTTTCGAAGCCCTAGGCCGGTGTTTTGATTGTTGGTTGCTTTGGCTTCTCAGCTCCCTCCTCCCGTGTGTCCAGAGCAGGTGGAGGATCCCCGGGGCGCTCACGCATAGGACCTGGGGAGACCACCAGGGGCTTTACAAAACCGCAGTCCGGCTGGAGACGCCCTCCTGGGGTCATTCCTTTCCCCCCCACCCCTCCTAGATCATTCCTTTCCCCCCACCCCTCCTGGGGTCACTCCTTTCCCCCCACCCCTCCTGGGGTCACTCCTTTCCCCCCACCCCTCCTGGGGTCACTCCTTTCCGTTTTTAGGTCGCTTCCTCCCATCTGTGCTGCACGCAGCGGCTTTTCTGAAGCAGCTGCTGGTTCCCACTGGCGTCTTCCACCCTCGTTGCCTGAGCGACCTCTTTCCACCTCGTGCATTCTGTGCGCTGGGTCACCTCCTGGGGGGTCGTGAAGCCCAACCCCAGTTCCCAGGGAGCCACAGATCAAGGTGTCCTGAGCACACACCAGGACTCGGGAAATCACAAACAGCTCCCAACCCACTGATGACACCCACAGAACTCCAGTAAAAAAAAAAAAAAAAAACAACTGTGAAGGATAATATAAAAAATACATGTACAGTCTGCTTTATGATAGTAAATGAAATTTTCCCAAAAACTTTCACCTGAAACTATCAATTACTTGGAAACCTCGTAAAGAACCAAGTGAGCCGGGAGATGGGAAAGAATCACGGAGGCTGGCCCTGGCCCGGGCCCTGTTGTCGGCTCCCTGAGGCCTCGAGGGATGGAGCCTGAGAGAGGAGCCCTGTCCAGGACAAAGCCCGGGGGCTTCACTTTATGCATAGACCTGATGGCGCCGGGGCGGCGGCCGGGACAGTGTTTCTGGGTGTGGCTAGGAGGGTGTTTCCGGATGAGACTGGCATCGGAATTGGTGGACGGGGTGACACCCGCGTGCTGGGCATCATCCAATCCTCTGACGGCCTGAAGGGGCCTCGGTGGAGGAAGGAGGAATGGCCCCTGCTCTCCTGCCTTCCTGCTTGCTCCAGGACGCCTCATCTCACCGTCTCTAGGCCAAGGTCTGAAATTTACACCAACCTCCCTCAGAGTCGGGCTGACTGACACCGCAGGCTTTCCTGAGTCCCACACGGCAGATCCCGAGACCTCTTAGCGCCTGTCACTACAAGAGCCAGCTCCTCACAATAAATACGTAAATCTATGTATGGGCCGGGCAGAGAGACCCTAAGCATTTCTGTGTCTGCCTCGAGTGTGTCTGCATCGTCGTTTTGTGATAGACACTTCGCCTGCGTTAAGTGCAGAGGCCGCCATTCCTGAGACACAGGCCTGGGCAAAACCAGGGACTCCCAGATGCCCCAACGCCCCTGCCAGACACTGGCTCCCTCCCACCCACGCAGCTTCCTGGGAGCAACCATCGAAAGAAGAAAAACAGTCCTGTGGGGGCTGAGGGCGGAGGAGACGCAGCCGGCTGCCCTCCAGATTCCTATGCTGGCAACAGCTGCCCGCCGGACAGACAGCTCTGCCAGGGACGGTGCCCAGACAGAGGGCAGCGCGTCTTTCTGGGACTGAACCGACGCCAAGCGTGCGTGTCACCAAGCCCATATAACAGAGAGCGGCAGGCGAGATACAGGCGTGTGCATCCCGGAAGGGGACAGGCTGAGGACCCTCGGCAGACGGGAAAACCCGCCGGTCGCTGAGAAATGGTGGGAAAAGTAAGCTCTTTGTGATGTGACAGGCGCTGTCCTTGCTTGAGAGATTGGCGCTGCATTTGGGGACCCCCAAAATGTGAACAGAGTACGTGAGATATCTGGCACAATACGTGAGCCCACCTGCATTTCGCTGGGGGAATTAAACTTTGTGATTTTGTTTTCCACTGGGATTCCTGACGTCAACGCCTTCAGGTGGACAGTGTCTCCGTCACCTGCCTCCCAACGCACGTCGTTGTCTGTTGTTGTCGTTGTTGTTTTGTTTTGTTGTTGTTGTTGTTGTTGTTGAGATGGAGTCTCACTCTGTCGCCCAGGCTGGAGTGCAGTGGTGCAATCTCCGCTTACTGCAAGCTCCCTCTCCCGGGTTCACGCCATTCTCCTGCCTCAGCCTCCAGAGTACCTGGGACTGCAGGTGCCCACCACCACGCCCAGATAATTTTTTGTATTTTTAGTAGAGAGGGGTTTCACCATATTAGTCAGGATGGTCTGGATCTCCTGACCTCATGATCCGCCCACCTCGGCCTCCCAAAGTGCTGGGATTACAGGCGTGAGCCACCGCGTCCGGCCGCATGTCTGTTTTTTCTGTCTCTGCTAGTTTGCTGGTTCTCCCTTTTGCTGCTGGTTTGTTTTCATCCCATGAGGGTTTAAAGGGCTGCCTTTGGAGGCTAAGCATCCTAAGAGCCAAAGCTCTAACGCCCACGCTGCTCTCTGAAGCCCCCGCCAAGTACAGCCAGGTCTCAGCTGTCAGATGTTTTCCAGCTGTTAACTTGGTTTGAATCTGACACCAGCCCCGGCTTCACTCCGGGCGGCGTCTGTCCAGACACCAGAGGAGGCACGAAGTTCCAGGGAAGCAACTGGGCAGGGTCCGTGCATCCCACCCTCCTCATTGGCTGAGTTTCCACTCATTGAATTTGCGCCAGCGTCCTCAGCACAGGCAGGATGGCTGAGTTCAGTCCCTTCATGATCAACTTTGCATGTCTAAGTTTCTGGAACAAAGAGCATGGCATCGATGAGCAATTTCTGTGGCCCTCCAGGGGCAGCTCCCCAGCAACGCGCCCAGCACCCACATCACAACAGGCTGCGCAGGCCGCAGTGTCCGCACCTCTGCAGCTGGAAGCCCCCAGCCAGGGGTCACATCAAGCTCCTGGAAGGAGTCCCCAGCCCCTGTTCCCTGCAGCCTGAGCTGAGCTCCAGAAGGCAGCCTCGCCCTCTCCACCTGAAGCAGGTGACGTGTTTGCAGCAAACGAGCCGGCGGGTCTTAGCTGCCTGGTTTTCCCCTCGGGCCACACTCCTGCTGCCCGTGTTCCTCCCCAGCAAGAGAGAAGCGTGGGGGGTGGGGAAAGAGAAATGCCTCCAAGGCCAAGCAAGGCCAAAGTGAAGAACAAAGTGCCCTGAGGGAGCCAGCCAGGGCTGCAGAAATGGCGCCGTCCACCCGATAGGCCCCGAGGAGCTTGCCGGATAGCGGCTTAGGGGCTCAGGCGGCCCCAGAACAGTGGATGCCTCGTTCATTTGGAGACCCGATGCCTTGCACCCCGAAACGTGGCTCTGGCTCCCTTGTGTAAACCCTATCCTCAAGCACAGAGCAGGGCTGTCCACAGAGACCTGGGGCCAGGCCAGGGCAGGCACCGCCCAGGGACCCAGGCTCCACACCTCCCAGGGAGAGCTGACCCGGAGCAAGCGGGCTCCAGTAAAGGCTGCTGCTGTTGGCACTTGCCCTTTGTCATGGACATTCTTTAGTTGTTTGTTTGTTTGAGACGGAGTCTGTCACCCAGGCTGGAGGGCAGTGGTGCAATCTCACCTCACTGCAACCTCCACCTCCCGGGTTCAAGCGATTCTCCTACCTCAGCCTCCCAAGTAGCTAGGATTACGGGTGCCCGCCACCAATCCTGGCTAATTTTTGTATTTCTTGTAGAGATGGGGTTTCACCATGTTGGCCAGGCTGGTCTCTTAACTCCTGAGCTCAAGTGATCTGCCAGCCTCAGCCTCCCAAACTGCTGGGATTACAGGCGTGAGCCACCACGCCCAGCCTTGGACATTCTTGATGACTGTAGATTGATATTCTAAGACTGCTGGTGTCCTGTAGATGCTGGAATCCAAAATAATTGGAAAGTAAACATTTCAGTCAGCCTCACTTTAGCATATTACATCAAATAGCAGAGCTGAAGTTTTTCAGTATAACCTGCCACATTTAACCCCACTCCCGGGTTTACATATTTCAAACCAAAAGGTACCCAATAACCAAGTGTCAAGAGAGGCCGACTGAGCCGGACATGCTGGCTCACACCTGTAGTACCAGCACTTGGGGAGGCTGAGCCAGGAAGATTGCTTGAGCCCAGGAGCTCAAGACCAGCCTGGGCAACATAGTGAGACCCCATCTCTACAAGATATACAAAAATTAGCCGGGCAGGGTGGTGCACACCTATAGTCCCAGCTTCTCAGGAGGCCGAGGTGGGAGAATCACTTGAGTCCAGGCGGTCAAGGCTGCAGTGAGGGGAGATCGCACCACTGTACTCCAGCCTGGGCGGCGGGAGTGAGACCCTGTCTCAAAAACAAGGGATGGACTCACCTGGCACAGGAGCCACAGCCCCATCTGAGAAACACTCGCCTCGCTGGTGGGACCGCGGATCACCCACACTAACACCCAGAGTTAGAAGTGCATCATTGCTTAGATTTTAAAATGACTAAAAGCCCAAAATGGGATTTGCCCTCCGTTTCTACTTCTGCCAACCCAGGAGACTGTTCCAGAAGGCAGAGTGGGTAGAGTGTTTAGGAGCCAGCCGGGAGCCACCTGAGGCCTGAGTCTCAGAGGGCAGCCTCCGCCATCCCCCATGTGCCAGAAAGGTGGGGACCACAATGCTCCAGGCTGAGATAGCTCCTCTGCCGTCCGGGTGCTGGAGCACACACTCCTCAACGGGAATGGCACAAGGTGGCTGAGCTCTTCTCCACTTTTTATTTTCCAGAACGTGAGTAAAAGCCTCACACTGAAGAATCCTGGAAGGGTAGCATATGATTCAGGTGGGATAAAGATGTTTTGGGAGAAAAAAATCGAGCATCACGCAAGACACCTGCAGAACGAGGACATGAGGGTTCGCAGGAGCGCCCTGAACAAGTGAGTCAGGATGTACAGTGCGTGGGGGACCCCTGTGCCTGAGCCGCACTCGTCACCCAGGGGCAGAGCCCAGCCAGCAGTGTGCCTGGACACAGCCCTAGCCCTCAACCCACCATGAAACCCCTCAGCTCCAGACCTGTGTAAAGAGTCAACCCAGGAGGAAACTGACAGCCTAGTGATCACATTCAGAACAGTAAGTGGGAAATGACAAGACACCACGCTGCTGACCGTGAGACCAGGAGCCCAGATCAAACATAGCTCTCCAGGCAACACCACACCCCAATGCCCACAGCCAGTTCACCCACACCCCAACACCCACACCCACACCCCCTTCACCCACACCCAACCCCCACACCCCCTTCACCCACACCCCAACACCCACACCCCCTTCACCCACACTCCAACACACACACCCCTTCACCCACATCCCAACATCCATACCCTCTTCACCCACACCCTAACACACACACCCCAACGCACACACCCACTTCACCCACACCCCCTTCAACCACACCCCAACACCCACACCCCAATACCCACACCCCAACACATACACCCCAACATACA